TGCAAAAGATATATTGTATGTTTGTGTCTCTGGCTTTCTCTCTCTCTTTCTCTCTATTCTGAAATATGTCATGTGCGTGTAGAATATATATTATATGTATATATATGAGAGAGAGCGCAAATGAGGGTATAAGATATAAAACTCAAATCAAGGAAGGCATTTTCTGACTTTGTTATTACAGCAATAAGGTTATCAGCTAAGCCAAACTATATTCTTTTCCAGAAGATAAATCAGCAACATCATTTCTCCTGTGACTTTTTAAAGTGTGTGATAATAACCTCTATTTTCTAGACTCAGTCTACATAAGAGATTTGCAAGATGTAGGTTTATTTTTTCTGAATTTTAAGAGTTGATTGTTTATAACCTTGAAGAATTTAATGCTGAAATTTAAATTCATGTAGAGTTATACAGTCCAGAATTTTAGATTGTGGAGATACTAAGACTGTCTTCTCAGAATAAAATTAAATAGTTAAAGGTAAACTATAGGGCTAGGAAAACAAAACCTATATTTCCCCCCTCCATCGCAGCACCCGATGCGCCGTGCTCGCTTTACCCCATAGTAAAACATTGCTCAATGCTTTCCTATGGGGTATTAGCCAACAGTGGAAGTCCTCATTCAGAGCGTGAAGACGTCCACAGTAATTTAGCATACCAAAAGTCTGCTAAAGACCCAGAAGTGCCTCTAGTGGCTGTCTGGTAGAAGGCCAGTAGAGGTGGAGTTAACCCTGCAATGTAATTATTGCAGTTTCTTAATAACTGCAAAAATTACAATTGCAGGGTTAAATGAGCTGAAGTCGTCTGGGTGCCTATAGTGTCCCTTTAACCTCTTAATGATAGTAATACTATTGGTAATAGTATTACTAGTATTAGTAATTAGTAATAGTATTAGTAGTAATAATAATAATAATAATAATAATAATAATAATCGCATAATAAATAATAAGGGGTCATGAATACATTTTAATTCCCTACACCACTAACCACAGTCAGCATGGCACCAGTAAATTTGGCTAAATTTGGAATATCAAAGGATGCCTGAATAGAGCAGTCACCAAAACAGTAAAATAAGATGGCAAATTATGGATCACTAATACCTATTAACATGCATCTTAGGGTTCAGCATTTTATTTGAATTCAGTTAGTTAGAAGCTATATGCCTACAATATCTACTTGGACTGGGCCAAAACATAGAAACATAGAATGTGACGGCAGATAAGAACCATTCGGCCCATCTAGTCTGCCCAATTTTCTAAATACTTTCATTAGTCCCTAGTCTTATCTTATAGTTGGGATAGCCTTATGCCCATCCCACGCATGCTTAAACTCCTTTACTGTTTTAACCTCTACCACTTCAGCTGGAATGCTTTTCCATGCATCCACTACCCTCTCCATAAAGTAATACTTCCTGATATTATTTTTAAACCTTTGTCCCTCTAATTTAAGACTATGTCCTCTTGTTGTGGTAGTTTTTCTTCTTTTAAATATAGTCTCCTCCTTTACTGTGTTGATTCCCTTTATATATTTAAATGTTTCTATCATATCCCCCCTGTCTCGTCTTTCCTCCAAGCTATACATGTTAAGATCCTTTAACCTTTCCTGGTAAGTTTTATCCCGCAATCCATGAACCAGTTTAGTAGCCCTTCTCTGAACCCTCTCTAAGGTATCAATATCCTTCTGAAGATACGGTCTCCAGTACTGTGTACAATACTCCAAGTGAGGTCTCACCAGTGTTCTGTAAAATGGCATGAGCACTTCCCTCTTTCTACTGCTAATACCTCTCCCTATACAACCAAGCATTCTGCTAGCATTTCCTGCTGCTCTATTACATTGTCTGCCTACCTTTAAGTCATCAGAAATAATCACCCCTAAATCCCTTTCCTCATATGTTGAGGTTAGGACTCTATCAAATATTCTGTACTCTGCCCTTGGGTATTTACGTCCAAGATGCATTATCTTGCACTTATCCACGTTAAATGTCAATTGCCACAATTCTGACCATTTTACCAGTTTACCTAAATCATTTGCCATTTGGCTTATCCCTCCTGGAACATCAACCCTGTTACATATCTTAGTATCATCAGCAAAAAGACATACCTTACCATCAAAGACCTTCTGCAATATCACTAATAAAAATATTAAAGAGAATGGATCCAAGTACAAAAGTCTTTGCTTCTACACCATGAAGACAGGATAGGCTTTGATAAATGTTTCTAAATTGAGTTTATTTACTCAATATGGCATTGGGTAGAACGGGCAAGAGTACTGCAAACTAGTTTAGACCAACATCACAAAACTAGAATTAGTATATTTGGAGTATAGTTCCATTTTTTAAATCTGAAATTTGCAGCCATTTGCAAAGTTTTTGTAAACAGTTAAAGGATCATACTACCTATAGAAGAGCATCTTATTACAGTAACATTTTCACTCACAAGGAATTATATGACAGTTTTATGGCATTTTAGTTTGGTATTTTCCATTCCCTCCTATGGCACAGTATTGGTTGGGTCTTGGTACAATAAATGATACATGGCTTAATTTCCAGAATATCATACGAGAATGACTGAAAAATCAACGACGAGCATGCGATTCTGTTTTATTTCCTTGAAAATACAATCAGCTCACTGTATCTAGAAGAGGGACAAGCATCACTAACGGAATCTCTGCTTGAAGATAAAACACACTTGGTATGAAGCCTGCAAGATTCTTATCTGCCATAAAGTTCTGATCAACACTCAACATTGGTTCTTTGTTGCCTTATCAACACTACCACACATTTGCAACTAGATTGAGATAACAAGTGATACAATTTATCTCAACTGACCTGCACATCACTTCTCTTCTCAAAAATGTACGTGGCACCTTAACCCCTTAAGGACCAAACTTCTGGAATAAAAGGGAATCATGACATGTCACACATGTCATGTGTCCTTAAGGGGTTAAAGTAAAAAATAATCTGTATATTGTTCTTTATACAAGACTTTTTTTCTTTGGTGTTGAATAGTTTTCTACTGACATAGAATTAAAAACAATAGCATCATCAAGATGCCATAACGACAGAAAAATAACAGCACACAGGAGCAGTGTCAGCCCTAAAACCCTGTGTATAAGATACGTGCTCACAATGCAAAGTACTATCTCCTGAGAAGATGGAGATAGAGACAGGATCTCACATAGTCCATAAAAGCACGGGAGCTTTATTAATAAAAGATATAAGAAAGATTTAACTAGGAATCACGGAGGAGAGTTCAAATTGTAAGGGGCAAAAACAGAGGCGTAGAGTTGGGGCATACAGCTAATGTTCTAAACGAGATGGCAGTCTAGGAGGTCCAGAGTCAAACAATCTAGTAGAGGAGCAGAGAAGATAGGAAGCTACTGCAGGACTGTAGAATGCTGAGTCACTGAGGCAGAAGCAACAGTAACATAGCACTGATGCAAGTGCTCTCTGAGGTCTTATAGGCTGGGTCAGGTCGTGGTTAACTAGTGATAGATGAATCACATAGGTAATGCATGTGGCTAAAAATTTCATTTCCAAGTGATGCAGGATGTGGTGGCAAAAGGTGAACTTGCATATGTGGTCCATGATGCTGGAATCATGACACCAGTGCCAAGACTGAGAAACTATGCCAGAGTCATGAAGACAATGACCACCATGTAGAACGAGTCATGCCGTGTACCAGAGGAACACAATATGGCAAAGAGATGGGTACCAGAAATGCTATGCTGTCATGACATGCAAGATGATAAAAATTGTGGGTGCCAATGCCAATGTCCACAAAAACATGACCTTTATAAGTGTATGGCCCTCAATGTAGTAGCACAGATACCTTATTAGATAAGTATTTTATTATCAGTTTCTGAATTATGTTGACATTCAATGTTTGGATCATTGCAAGCATGGAATGTCAACATAATTCAAATAGCATACACAGCATATACAATATAATTTGTACTTTACAAAATACTAACACAAAGGGAATGATACCCTAATGATATTGTTATCCATCATATGCTCTCAATCCAGAGCAGGGTAGCAAAACGATAAATGATTGTACATTATTCATCTCTTTCATGGACCTTACCTGCCAAGATTGAAAGGAAGAAGGGGGAGGAGGGAGGAAAGGTAGAGGATTTGTGCCAGTGATGCACTGATTGTTGCTGATGAAAGAGAGGGATAGAAGTAAAGAGAGTGACTGTCAGCAATACTATCTTGCTCTCCTCAGAGTTGTCCATATAGGATACTAGAGAATTCCAGATGATCGGACAAGGACTCTACATTGTAACTTTTCCTGCCAAAACTGTTTGAGGGTATGACTGAAGTATCAGTCTCTTAATAAATGTACTTTGTGATGCCAGTGGAATTCTTCAGCACCTTGTGGCATAGGTATACACAATCCTAACTCTCAATCTATCATCTACCAAAAGTACCTTTGGAGAACCGGCAGGAGACCCTTGGATCATCAAAACCAAGACATGGGATCCTAAAGGAATCAGAAATCTTAACACATAAATCTGAAGATTAAAGGCAAAATGTACAAACAACTGTGATTTTATTAATGACACGGAGGCTCCTATTATGCTATTTCTTTCTTACTTTATTCCTCAGCAGCAAAGAGAAATATAAAACTGTAAGAGAAAAAATGTAAATATGAAATATAATAACAGATACAACCAGATCTGCCTAGTAACAGGGCAGCCAATCAGCTTAGTAGGAACAGTCCATAAATGTGTTGCTTAGTACTTCCATTTCCTCTTTCTTTGCTGCTGTCCTCAGACCAGCTAAGTATTAAATTTTCACTCCTGTATATTTGATCTTTTTTGATTGTTATATGGGTTTATCTACTGATTATTTTTCTTGATTATTTATGTGATGCTGCTTTATATCGCTCTATGTGATTTATGTATTGTTTTTTGCTACATCTGGTATTCCCTTTTTGGTATTTCCGTTTTCTTCCCCTGCGTTTTTTCTGGCTCCCTGCCTGTGCTGTACCTTTAGTTAGCACATACAAGGGCCGCAGATCACAGGGGAATTTATCTCAGGAGCTGCAGTGCTCCCTGACCGCCCTTCCTCCCTCCCCTCGCGACCGCGTGTGCGGCCGCGTTTGGCTCCGACCCGCTCAGCCTCCCCCTCGCACCCGCTGGTGCGAGGGTGTTTCCCCGGCCGTGTGTTTTCCACGCGCTCCACCGGCCATTGGCGGAGGAGGAACTTGATGCCCGCAACGTGCTCTGCATACGGCGGCCATCTTCCCTCTCACTCACACACGTGGCTGCTAGCGGTTCCGGCGGGTCGGCTCCCCTTCCCTTTGTTTTTTACAGGTATTGTGCTTTTGTGGGTTACTCAACCCCTGTACTGTAGGTTTAGGATTCCATCATTTTTTCCTGCTCTGTAATATATACTGATACTGGTGTCCCTGGCTGCCATAGTTCTTGTGGGTGTCTGTTGCGCTGTGTATATTTAAAGGGACATACCCCCCTTTTCCCACAAGTTTATATCTACCCTCCTGACTATCATGCAGGCTAGGGGTGATGGTTCTGGCAGTCCCAGTTATCCCAGTATGGAAGCTTTTCCGGCCCCTTTCTCAGGTGAGGTGGGTCTCACCCCCTCTCAAGAGTTCCAGGCCCTTACTGACTCTACTATGCAGAGGGCCCTGGCCTCAGCCATGGGGACAGTTTCATCGTCACTGTCTCATACTATTCAACAGGCCTTGACTCAGCCCTTGGTTTCTCCAATGTTGGCAAGCCCCCTGCCTGCGCTGCAACCTCAGGTCAGTCGCAAGGCACATGCCAAAACTAAACATGTCTCCCCCGATGTGACACAGGTAGTACCTGTCCTGACTAACGCGCCTCTGGCCGTCCAAGATGGCGCGTTACCGCGCAAGAGAGCCGCTGGCCGGGCAAAATCGGCCAGAAAGTGGAAAAAGGCGCGTGCCCATGGCAATGACGGATCAGACTCCGATCTAAGTGGGGAGACAGGTTCGGACACCCCCGACTACGCCTCTTATGAGGAAGGGGACTCCGACGCGGAGGCGGGGTCTGACGCTTCGGCGCTACCTCCGAGTGGGGAACAAGGCATATGTGATCCGCAGGGTTACCCCCTGTTCGATCCTGATGACCTTCGTCACCCTCGCTCGGCGGAATGGGACCCGCCCGAGCATATCGCTAGTTATCTAGCGCCACGTATGCGTACCCCCTTGTCCAAGGAGGGGCGCAGTAAGTTACGGGCCGAGTGCCCAAGGCCCTCAGTACCTGACGCGGAGTGCAAGACGCCAGAGGTTGACCCTCAGATTTCCCAGTTCCTGGCAAAAACGGTCTGGAAACCCAGAAAGAATTTGGACACTTTAGGTCCCGTTGCTAAGCTTTATGAGCTATTGGAGACGGCTAAGACAGGGGACACCACCCTTGATTTCGATGTAGCAATAGGATGGGTCCAGAGACTGACTTGCCTTCTCAGCAATGCTAACACGGCTATGTCAGCCGAACGCCGCAAGGCGATCTTGCTTAAAATTGAGCCTAAGTTGGTAAACCTCGCAGTGAAGGAACTGGGCGCTGCCGCTAAGGGCATGCTCTTTGGTGAGTCTTTCGTTAAAGACCTGGGCTCATTTGTGTGTACCTTCACCGCCCTAGATAAGGCCCAATCCAACTTGAAACGCGTTTTTGGCCCAAAGGTTTTCCATAGGGCCGGGAGGTATAGGAGCCAGGTCCTCATGGACTCATAGAGGTTCCTTTGCTGCCCCTCGGGCCTACCAGGACTACAAGCCCGCTCCCTTCTTTCCCTCCCGGGGGAGGACGTGGCAGAATCGGGGAGGACGTGGTCAGCCCTCATACAGACGCCCTTACGGTGAGTACCCAGGAATGTATTTCTCTCCGGGCAAGTGTGGGGGGGGCAGTTTGGCTTTGTTTCTCGACATGTGGGGCATGATCACCACAGATGTGTGGGTTTTAAATACGATCAAAGGTTTTCGCCTAGATCTTTTATCTCCCCGTGTCCAGGTGGATACGCCTCAGGAACTGAGATTGCCGGAAGCGCAGTCCGGGTTGATTACCAAGGAGATCTCGGAACTTCTTGCCAAACGGGCAATACAGGAAGTCCCATACGATCATCCTGGATTTCTAAGCAACCTGTTCCTCATCGCCAAGAAAGGCGGAGGAGTTCGGCCGGTTATCAATCTCAAACGACTCAACGGATTCCTTCGTTACCATCACTTCAAGATGGAAGGCATACATTGCCTCAGAGATCTGCTTTGGCAAGGGGATTGGATGGTCAAACTAGACCTCAAAGACGCATACTTGACTATACCAATGGCAGAGGTACACTGGGACTTATTGCACTTTACGTGGCAAGGACGTCGATGGAGGTTTACCTGGCTGCCCGTCGGTCTCTCTTCAGCACCTTGGTGCTTCACAAAGGTGATGAAACTGGTGGTGGCGTTCCTCAGGTCTCGGGGAGTACGCATGATTATTTACCTGGACAACATACTGATTATGTCCGCATCCCCCGACCAACTGCTACAGCATCTGAGCTGGACGGTGGATCTTCTGGAAAAATCCATGGTGACCCTGACGCAGAAAATAGAATTTCTGGGTTTCGAAGTCGATTCAGTCGCCCAGTTCTTGTTCCTTCCAGAGGCCAAGCTAAAGGCTATGAAGAAGGAAATAAGACGTACTCTGTGGACCACCTCTCTCTCCGTACGACAACTGGCGAGGGTGATTGGCCTTTTGGCCTCCTCCATTCAGGCGATTTTCCCGGGACCCCTGCATTATCGTGCCCTGCAACGTCTGAAGGGATCCCACTTTCGCTCGGGCAGTTCGTACGAAAGCGAACTACGCCTGGACAGAGACTCCAAGGAGGAACTACTGTGGTGGTTGGACCATATGGAGGCATGGAATGATCGAGCAATCTTCGGTACCGCCCCAGATATGGTGATAGAATCGGATGCCAGCCTGCATGGTTGGGGCGCTCGCTGTGGAAATGTCTCCACAGGTGGCAGATGGTCCGAAATCGAATCGACACTACACATAAACTGTCTGGAATTGCCGGCGAGATCATTCGCTATTCACAGCATGTCTCCAGCTCTGGGAAACTGCTGCGTCCATCTGCGCATGGACAATGTGTCCGCGGTCAGATATATAAATCACCTAGGTGGCACAAAATCAAAACAACTGGCGAATCCAGCAAAGGACTTCTGGCAGTTTTGCCTCCACTGCGCGGTGTCGGTCATGGCCGAACACATCCCGGGCTTGGACAACGAATGGGCGGATTGGAATTTGCGATACTTGAAAGACTCAGGAGATTGGCACCTGCTGCCTTCGATCTTTCGACAGATAGATCAACTATGGGGCTCGTTACAACTGGACTTGTTCACATCCAGAATGAACGCTCAACTACCCCAATACTTCAGTTGGAGACCAGATCCATCAGCCACAACGGTGGATGCGTTCCTGCAGACATGGCCTCGGGGTCGTCACTTTGCGTTTCCCCCTTTCAACCTGATCTCTCGGACGCTGGCACACTTGACCAGACAAGAGTGCACGTTGGTGGTGATAGTTCCCCTATGGCAGACTCAGCCTTGGTTCCCACGTCTCTTGGAGATGGCGACGGATTGCCCACGAATGATCAAGATGCGACCAGAGGTGCTTCTAGATCCGGATAGGAACTCACACGAATTAGTGGACCAGGACCTGCTCCAGCTCACGGCTTGGTTGATTTCGGGGGACTCTGGTGTGTCACGGACGTTCCGCATGCTACTACAAGACTCCTGGAGAATGCCTGGGCACCGGGTACCAGAACAGCTTACAAATCTGCATGGCGTGTGTGGTCTGGCTGGTGCGTGGGAAGACTGCTGGATCCCCTTTCTGCCCCTCTGAAGGAGGTGCTCAGTTTTCTGACTACACTTTTTGAATCTGGTTTGGCCTATCGCACTATTAATGTTTATAGATCGGCCATCTCAGCCGGACATCTAGGTATTGACGGATCACCGGTTGGACAACATTCTTTTGTATGCCGATTGTTGAAGGGTATTCGTTACTCTACGCCTCCGAAATCCAGGTATTCATCGTTTTGGGATGTTAACGTAGTGCTGGGCTTCTTGGAATCATGGCCTCTTAATGAGGAGCTGTCGCTGAAGCAATTATCCTTGAAACTGGTTATGCTCCTGTGTCTCCTTTCATGCAAAAGGGTTTTGGATGTCAGGGCTTTGGACTGGAACGCATTATTCTTCACCCCGAGGGAGTGTCGTTTAACATCTCTAGGAGGACTAAGACGTCTTCTAAGTCAGTGACCTAACCTAGGTGTTCAGTCCGACCTGCTCTCTGTCCGGTGGCTTGCCTACGGGTGTACTTGGATTGCACTCACCAATTGAGGTAATTGGATTTATCCCAATTGTTTATTTCCTTTAAGAAGCCATTTCTCCCAATCTCCTCGTCTACGTTAGCTTGTTGGATTAAGAATCTTCTTTCCGCTGCAGGGATCAATACTTCAATATTTTCTGCTCATTTGGTCAGAGGTGCCATGGCGTCAAAAGCTTCCACGATGGGATGTCGTCTGGATGATATCTTGAAGGCAGTGGATTGGTCTAGAGAATCTACGTTCCGCGATTTTTATTTCCGCCCGATTGACCACGTTTCCTCGTTTGTTGTGGCTCAGCTTTAAACTAGCATAATAGGAGCCTCCGTGTCATTAATAAAATTCCCAGATTTTACTAATAACATGACGTAAAGTCATGATTTTATTAATGACACGGAGGCGAGTATTATTCCCACCCACCCGTTGGGTATGGTTTGGATCTACACTTATGGTTCAATTGGGGGGGATCTTTTACCTTAAGGTAAGTGTTCACGGTTTTTCTCTTGATTTATGACGTATAGTGGGGTCTATTTACTGTTTGCTTATGTGTTTTACAATAGTTGGCATATATAGTCCTACAGGTCAGATTGTCATGATATGTTACATTCAGATCCAGAGTTTGGATTTTACCTACTATTTCTCTGTTTTTACAGCTTGATTTCGTTGTGATGACGTCTACCTCGTTGGAGATCGTTCTTTCCCGATGTGGATATTTGGTTTGGGTCTTCGGTTCAGAAGGCAAAGAAGAGGAAGTGGAAGTACTAAGCAGGACATTTATGGACTGTTCCTACTAAGCTGATTGGCTGCCCTGTTACTAGGCAGATCTGGTTGTACCTGTTATTATATTTCATATTTACATTTTTTCTCTTTCAGTTTTATATTTCTCTTTGCTGCTGAGGAATAAAGTAAGAAAGAGATAGCATAATACTCGCCTCCGTGTCATTAATAAAATCATGACTTTACGTCATGTTATTAGTAAAATCTGGGAATTCTCTTTTTGATAAGGGTTACGTTGTATCAATCTTCACTTTTCATGTATCTGTTCCTTTCTGCTTGAAATAAAGGATTATTTGTCGAGTCCATTAAGTGATGAGAATATCCTTTTTAAATTATAGTATATTGTAAAAGTCCTAAAGATTTGCATTTTTCAGCATATGGAAATAGCATACATAAGTGGTGATTACGAGGTTAACAAACAATAACTTAAATTACTGCACAATTTTATTTCCCGAATAATAAAATGCAACATAAAAGACTACTCAATCATAATTAGTGACCTTTAATGAATCAAGCCAACCAACTCTTGTTTTGAATTTGCATATATTTTTGGCATGGGAAAGAACAGATGTCTTAAGGAGGGGAAAAAATATTCCAATATATATAAAATATGCAAAGTCTCTTATTCTGCTCTGGTAGTGTGCACTATATAGCAAAGTCCTGAATTATTTATTTTATTAGCATTTTTGAATATCTGCCGAAAAGTTTAATATTTTCACATTTACAAATAGTTATAATTTTATCAAAAATAATATTTTTTTTATTTCTGCATATACTCTCACTCTTAAATAATCGGCATTTTACCCTTAGAAATGCTAGATGCACACATGGTCACATTGCCCAGGCAAAGAAACCCTCTCAACTAGATGTGTTAATCAGCAGGCTATTTCTCTGCTGAATATAGGGGGGGATTACTGATTTAGTCCACTATGTCCACTATGATCAGGTGGTATTTGTAAAGTGGCGACAGGTCTTAGATGCCAAGAGATGAGTATTAAAGTTGGTGGAAACAGTATCTATATGGAAGGATGCTTCCTCTTGTCACTGGTTCTGGAGAAGACATTCGATCGCCCGCATTGGGAAAAAAATGAGGTAAATGTTGCTGGCTTATTGGTTTCCTAATGCTTTTGTTCAAGTGGTGATGGGCCTCTATTCAGCTGCAATGGCATGGGTCCTCTCTACAGGATACATATCAGGTACGTTTGACATTAGCAATGGAACCTCTCTTTAAAATCTACATTTGACTCTAATGAACTATAGCAGAGTATAGTACCATAGGATAAATACCACAAAATCACAGGCACCAGGAGTAAACTTCCTATCAGACCTGTTAACCACATTAAACACTTTGTACATGTTTTGCTAGGTTATCTTGGTATCCATTTTTATTCCAACATTACGGCGGTGTCCCAAAGTAATTTTATGTATTTGTGGTTACAGATTAAACAAGATTTATGTAAACATGACGAAAGGTTAAAAAATTTAAATCTCTTTAGTTTGAAAAAACAGCACCACAGAAGGGATATGATAACATTATACAAATATATTTGGGGCCACTACAAACCATTACCTGGAAATCTATTCACAAACAGGGCTATACTTAGGACACTATGTGATGCATTTAGACCGGAAGAAAGAAGATTTAATCTAAGGCAAAGAAAAGTTATTTTTTACAGTAGGAACAATAAGGATGTGGAATTCTCTGCCTGAAAAGGTGGTTTTATCAGAGTCCATACAGATGTTTAAACAGCAATTGGATAAATATGCGCAAAAACATAATATACAGGGATATAATTTATAATTAGTGGGGTAACAGCTGTTTGATCCAAGGAGACATCTGACTGCCATTTTGGGATCAAGAAGGATTTTTTTCATAGTTTGTTGCAAAATTGGAAGCGCTTCAGATTGTTTTTTTTTTTTTTTGCCTTCTTTTGGATCAACAGCAAAAACATATGTGAGAAAGGCTGAACTTGATAACAAAAGTCTCTTTCCAGCTATGTAACTATGTGTATAGGTAGTACACATTTGAAATTTGGACGACATTCTTTGATACAAATGATGCCATTTCCTAATTTATACTTATTTAGCAAATTATTTACCATTTATAGTTGCTCAAATTAAGGCTACTCAGCATTTGTTAACACATTTATCCATGTGCATAAAAGACCTAGAGCGGCAGTGTTTAACCTACATTGGCATACATTAAAGGGAGGAGAGGGAGTTCCTAAACTAGTGCATTATTACCAAGCTTCCACATTATCATGAACTTTATTGTACTGTCCTATTACAATGACGAAACAATGGGTAGATATGGAAGATGCTAAATTATCACCACATCGAATCATACACATTTTTTGGTCCTATAGTCCACTGCTAAAATCTTTGTCTTTAATTTCCGCTTTGTGGCATTCAGTGCAATTATAATGTAAATTGTTGAAAAATATAGCTACAATTAGCATATATCTTGTATCGTGCAACTAATTCACTTATCATTTTTAACCTAATTTGGGGGCCTCTAGATTCCTGTGGCCCTTTAAGGAGGGAACTTTGTCCTCTACTGCCTAACAAAGATGAATCAATATTGCAATGTGCACTATACTTACCTCATTTTAGTTTTTGGGTTGCTTTCACCGGTCAGTAGCTTTGAACAACTTTTTATTTTATGATATTGAGACACATCCTGTCAATCCCACAAACGCCTTGTCACCCCTCACACACCGTATTACTCCACACACTTTTTCACCCCCACAACCCCTACACACACACTGTCACCCTCCCAACACAACCAATGTCGCCCCTCACTATGAGTGTGTCTTACTGTTTATCATATTGTTTGTACAGTTTCCTTTGTTTAGCATGTGGTAATTTCATTGTATATATCGTATTCATCAATAAAAATGACTGTAAAAAAAATAGTATTTGTTCAAAATTTCATTATTTTTGAAAATCTTCTATATTGTCTTCATTTCTAACATAACGTACTGCAGTGAGAGTGAATAGTTTGGTGTAAATAAGAGAGGCGAGCTTTGAATTTAGGGATTTGCTATTTGGGATTACATAAATAACATGGAATAACCAGGGGCGTGGCCGAGCTGCCGACAGCAATGGAGGCTTAAACCAGAGCTCCTCAATCCCTCACTATCACCAGCACCTCTAAAAGCAGCCAAAGCCAACCATGGGGAAGAACTCCAGAGCGGCAAGCACCCCCAGGCAATCAGGGTCACGTCAGGCTCAAATAACTGCCTCCATGCAGCAGTACCTGACAACACCGACAGCACTGACCTCCCACGTGGCCTCAGAGGCCTGCAACATGTCGGGTCCCTCCACACCGACATCACCAGTCTCCAGTAGAGGGGAAATCCCTCCATCTCCTCCACTTGATTGGGGAGCCCTAATAAGAGCACTGCCCACAAAAGAAGATCTGCTCACCGCAAACACAGCACTGCAAACATTCATTAGAGCAGACCTACAGATCATAAGGGCAGATATACAAGGCCTCACTGACCGCATGGCAAGAGAGGAAGCTGACCATGACAACCTGGTGACAGCTCAAGCAGCCACAACAGCCACATTAGACTGGCAGACCACACAGCTATAACAGATGGCGCTACACCCCTGAAGATCTGGACAACAGGGGACGTCGCCAAAACCTCCGCCTGCGCGGCTTGCCAGAGCAAGAAGACTCCCCAGAACACCTCTGTGAGGTACTAGCCACGATATTTAACGGCATCTTGAAGAGAGCGGAGGGATCAGTCATTGAATTTACACGTGCACACGGGGCTCTCCGGCCGAAGGGACAACGTGATGCCCCCCCCAGAGATGTTATCTGCTGCCTCTCAAGCTATACCCTGAAAGAAGAGATCTTGCAAGCGGCACGCGAGAATGGAGACATCAGATTTCACCAACATACTCTGCAACTGTACCCTGATCTCAGTCCTGCAACACTAGGATACTGGAGAGCGCTGAAACCGCTGACATGTGTCCTGATCTCGCAGAAAATACAATACAGGTGGATCTTCCCATCTGGCATACTTCTCTTCACACCTGAAGGCCTTAGACTGATACGGGGACATCGAGACTACATAGAGATCTCTAACCTTCTGCAACTCCCACCAATCAACATGCGCTGGCCTGATCCGCTGGACTTCTATAAACCACCTCCACCACCCCAGATTGACCTGGCGCACGCACAGTGAAGGAACAGATCCAGACAAGAATCCAGAAGACCAGCAGGCACCTCACGCTGACCGTGCAGACAACGAGACTACAGACCCCCAAAAGGACAGTGAACTCTAACGAGGTCCTCGCCCTGATTCTTCAGGTGGTAATATAACTTGCACTGTGGTGGGAGGGGGAGAAACTTTACAGGTATGATGTCCTAGGCATACTCTATCACTGTATTTTGTCCCGACACACATACACTCAACCGGTACTCTTACTATGACACACCTTAGGACAAACTGGGACCCCCTAAAATGATAACGTAAAATAATAACCAGACAACACATATAGGAGGGGACAAGTGTAACAAAGCCACAACACGTGAATTCTAAGTTGGAACCGACCCACAGGTACACATAGATGATGGGGACAGCCCTGAATAACACAAGACTGGACGAATTATACATACAGAGACAACGGGGGTTCGGTAGGGGAGGGATCTAGACACGGGAGACCTGTCCACTACCCTTTACTGCTCACATACTGATAGTCATACGCCCTCTGTATCTTCTTCCCTGTGTTCTTTACTAATGGTTACACAGATTGCACTGTTCGCACATTGTAAACCGGCTTAGGATAATATAAGCAAAAGTGGCGTTTACATGTAGGTTATAAAACAACAGTGTATAATTGGAGAACAACAACAATTACGTTTAGACAAACAGAAAAAATTAAATACACATCAAACTATCCCCTTTCCCCGTTTTGCTTATATTATCCTAAGCCGGTTTACAATGTAATTGTTGTTGTTCTCCAATTATACACTGTTGTTTTATAACCTACATGTAAACGCCACTTGGCCGTGGTACCCCATTGGTTGAGGTGTCACTATAGCGAGGGGGCGGCCCCTGGTTCCACGCCCACATTCGGGCTCCAATGCACACCTTTAACACCCCCT